TATTATTCTTTTATTAGATATGAATAGAGGCCTGGTACACAGTTGGGGACCAGCTGGTTTGCCCTGAAGGATGTCCCAGATCAGGGTGGGTGTTCCCTTGGGGGATGGGTGGCCTGGGCAAGGAGCTGGTGGTGGTTTGCAGGCCAGCCATGTCCCCTGCTGACCCAAGTGGAGACCCTGGTATCTGGGGTTTATTTATCTTCTACAACTGAAAAATGTTTAGCCTGGAGTGGAAACAAGCCTTCTGCTTGCTTCGTGACAGCAGCCATTTCTGTTGGTATTTATGTATCTTCTATAATTGAAACTTGGTAGCCTTAAGTGGAGGCCTGGGCTGGCCAGACTGTGCAGAAAGCTTGGCTTCTTCCATTGCCAGGGAAACCCTAGCCTCCTGCTCTTTCCAGCTCCATGGCTACCGCCATTTCTGTTTAGATTTATGTGTCTTCTATCATTGAAACTTTGTAGCCTTGAGTGAAACTTTGTAGCCTAGGCCAGCAAGGGCAGATGGAAAGCTTGGCTTCCTTCATTACTGGGTAAACCCAAGCCTCCCTCCTGCTCTCTGTAGATATAGCCATCTTGATTGGTTTATTTGCATATTTTCTCCTGATTGGTTGGTGGGCATGGCTAGTGGGTGTAGTGGAGTGATGGTTAATTTGCATATTATTCTTTTATTAGATAGAATATGTCAGAGAGTATTCCAGAGGACTGAAATTCATGGTATCAAGAATTGGCATTTTAAACTGAGAATGCACAGGTGGCCCATGAAGGGTTCTTATTCTAATATAGTGATTGGAAAACTCATTAGTCAACAGAGCCAAATATCAATAGTACAACGATTGAAATTTCTTTTGAGAGCCCAAACTGCAGGGCCTGAAGCAAGGTGCCCTTGTCCATGATTCCTCTGCAGGCACAGCTCACCACAGCTCATGGTGTCATCCATCTGGCAGAGGTTTCAAGTGAGGTTCCTGGAACCCTACCCTCAGATCTGGTGGCAGTACTTCCTGTTTAGGGCCTGCATTGAGCCCAAGGTGTATTCCTGAGTCTGATGTGGGTTCAAGGTCTTCGCAGAGGAACTAGTGGGATATTTACAAGTTCTTGTCATGTTGTGACCATTGTCATTCAAACTAGAGTTCTAAGGGCCCCCCAGCAATGAATTTGAGGAGTTCTATTGAGCTTTATGAAGTTCCCCTATGGCAGGAAACTCCCAAAACAGGGAAAAGTTTAGGCATAAAAGATGGATGGGCCAATCACCCTAGAGGACTAGGGAAATTTGTAAATTTACCCCTGAAGGGAAATTATTTTGCCAGAATTCCTCAACTTACACATTTTTTTTTTTTTTTTTTTTGTGGTATGGCTTTGCAAACAGAAACACGAATCCATAGATGTGCTTGAAGTGAAACACCAAGAAACTGTAAGCAAGTGAACTAGAAGTGTTTGCTGGCTAGACATGCACAGTAGGTGGGCTAGAGGGAAAACCCTGTCCAGGGTTCTCTACTGATGAAAGGCAAGTCAGGCTAATGTGGTTCTGGTGCTCCTGCTGCAGAAGGATGGAAAGGTAGAGGATGAAGTATTTTAAAGCAACTGAGAAGAGGAGAAATGGGGTCCTACGGATTGGTTCTTATTTACACATTCATTCTTGCATTCTCTTATGTACCTATTATCTATAGGAACTAACTGTGATACAGGTGAAAGGTTACTAAACAGATAGGGCTCTTGCCTTCCTGGAACAACATTCCAGGGTAAAGATGGGGCAATAAACCATTTAAAACATTTTAATTACAGATTGAGATAAATGTTAAGCATAAAATAAACCTGGAGAGCTATGATGGTTAACAACAATGGCGGGGGCAAGGAAAAAATGTATGTACTACCGTGATTCCCTGAAAATAAGACATCCTCCGAAAATAAGACCTAGCGCATGGAAAGATAAGACATCCCCTGAAAATAACACCTAGCACAACTTTGGGAGAAAAAATTAATATAAGACACTGTCTTATTTTCGGGGAAACAAGGTAGATAGAGATCAAGACAAATCTGAAAGTCAAAGTGATAATCCCCTGCCGGCATCATTCCAAACCCTGCTGCAGAGTGGACATATCCACTTTCTTCCTCTCTCTGCCAGACCATAACACTAGCCTCTTCTAAAGATTTGAAGAAAAATGCCTAAAGACTGGATTCTCCAGAGCACTGTGATCGACTCCTGTGACATGGTAGCTAATTTTGTGGTGTTGGATTGACATGGAGTGCTGTTTCTTGAGGAGGAATGGTAAGTTTCTCACTTCTTTACTTTGACCCATATCTTCACTTCCAAAGTATGGCAACTTCAATTCCTGTCCTCCAACAAAGCAGCAAGTTGAGCTTTCTTGGTGGTGAATGCCATGCAGGTGTAGGGACTGGGAGACCAGCAAGAGGCTACTGTGTCTGTGACTTTGTCTAGTGTCCTATGCACCGGGAGAAAGAAAATAAGCTTATATGATGACAGGGAGGATTCGGGTTATGAACAAAGGAAGCCTTCATGGCTGCACAGAGTTACCAGGACAAATGATCATTGGTAGTATAGAACCCCTTTCCTAAACATTTCAGGCAGTGAACTCTGGAATTGTTTTGGTACAGTCCTGCCTTGGGGCAGGGAACAATCCCCAGCAGACTCAAGTGTTCCTTCAAATTCTAGGAAGCTATAACATGACATGGTCTTTTTTTTCTCCTTTCTTTTCTTGACGTATTATTGTGTTCAAAAGCTTTCATTAGGTACAGCCAACAATGAAAAAAATGCATATATTTGGAAATCCTTCCAATAGTCTTTTCTTGGAAAACTATTTAATTGCATGAGCTTTTCCAGATGTAAGCCTCTATGGGAAATTACAAAGAATTTGTGAATTAAGTAAATTATCCTGCCTGCCTGTATGCTAGTTTTTTTCCTGCATGGTTAGATATTATAAATAGAATGTTGAAGTGGATCATCAGAATTTGTTACCAAATACACTTTCAGAATTGTTTTTGCTTAATAAAAATCAAATTTCTTAAGAAAAAAGTGATGAGCTGTTTTACATTTATAATAATACTAGTGACCCAGTGCACAAAATTCGTGCACAGAGCGAGGGGGGAGGGAGTGCCTCAGCCCAGCCTGCACCCTCTTTAATCAGATATACCTCTTGCAATCTGGGACCAATGGCTCCTAACTACTCACCTGCCTGCCTACCTGACCACCCCTAACTGCCTCTGCCTGCCTGCCTGATTGCCCCTAACCTCCTGCCTGCCTGCTTGATCACCCTAACTGCCATTCCCTGTTGGCCTGATCTCATCCCTAAATGCCTTCCTCTTGCTGTCCTGGTGCCCCCAACTGCCCTCCCCTGCCAGCCTGATCTTGCCCTTAACCACCCTTCTCAGCCAGCCTAATCTCTCCCTCAACTGCCCTCCTCTGCTGGCCAATTTGGTTCTGATTGGTCTGTTTCTATGCCAATCAGTGTCAAAAGCTCCACCTCCTAGGCAGCCATTAGCTCCTCACAGTTGACCCAGATTTGGTTCTTCTTTTTAGGGGAGGGGGAGAATGGGCTGTTTAAGTGGTGATTACAGGGGTCAGACCCCATAAGTGGTGTCAGCCCTGGGAATATGACCTGTCAATGTTGATCACAAAGCCCCCCAGTCTGGTCCTGGTGAGCCTCAAGGTCAGAAATGAAATGGAAAGGCCTCAGTCACAAGCTGCTTCCAAGTGTCCAGGTTGGCAGCAGGGAGGAGATGCCCATGATGTACCAGGTCTCCCTATTGGACACCACCGAGGTCTGGAAGGACAGCAGCTGCACTCCTGCCTCTACCAGGAGCTCAGTCATGGTAAGCAGCATGTCAGGGTTGGAGGGGTGAGCCCAGAACAGGAGCAGGGGCAGATCTCTGTGGAGAGGCATTTCTGGTCTAAAGGAAGCTCAGCTGAGTACTTGTAGCACAGATGTGGTGCCCTGGACATAGCCAACAGCCTGGCAGGGGGCACCTGCCAGGGCCACATTCAGGAGGCCTTCCCTACATCCTTGCTCTCCTGGCACAGTGGGGTTATGGGAGGTGATTACATTGAGGCAGGCCTCCTGCACCAGTGGCTTGGCGTTCACATCTGCATGATGAGAAGCATCTTTGAGGAGTCTGACAATGACTATAGGGCTCGGGCAGTACCCGAATTCTTCATGGATAAGCCCTACATTACCACCTGGATGGTCCCTTTGGGGGACCCTGCCCAGGCTCACATCAGAGTCCCCAGAGCTTCTGCCAGACCAATCTAAGGTTTGGTGTGCAGAGAGAAGGTGCTGGTAAGGGCCTGAGCATTCATGACCCCTGTGATGGCTCTCCCCTTCATCATGTCCATGAACTGGACAGTGATCTCCTCCCCACAGCGGCTCTGGGCCTCCTTGGTGCTGGCGCCCAAATGGGGGCAGCTAATGACATTCTCGTGGTCCAACAAGTTGCAGTCCCAAGGCGAATCCTCTGAACATGCCTAGCGCAGCGTCTGCACACTGCCCAAACTGCAAGGCCTGGAGCAAGGTGCCCTTGTCCACGATTCCTCTGCAGGCACATCTCACCACAGCTCACGCCCTTCTTGCACAGGGTGAAGGTGCTGTCATTCAGCAGGCCTGTCATGGAGGGCAGGAGAGGGGTGTGCACAGTGATGAAGTCACAGAGGGGCCAGATCTCCTCCATCATCTCCTCCATCATCTCCTCCATCTCACCAGTGCATCATCTCCTCCATCTCACCAGAGGACTCAGCCTCCTTTAGAAGGAGGCTGAGTCCTCTGGTGAGATGATGGGGTTGTACCTTAAAGTCTTCATCCCAAAGGACTGCATCCTGTCGGCCACGTTTCTTCTGATCCTCCCTATGCCAAAAACTCCCAGGGTCTTCCCATTCAACTCGGCTCCCACAAACTTCTTTCTGTCCCATTTGCCATTCTTCATCAAAGCCATAGTCTGGGGCAGTGGTCAGCAAACTCATTAGTTAACAGAGCCGCAGTTTGCCGACCACTGGTCTAGGAAATCTGCTTGGTCAGACTCATGATCATTCCACAGGTGAGATCCACAGCACTAAGCCCGTTCCCATTGGGAGTGTTCATAACCAGGATGCCCTTCCTCATGGCGACCTTCAGATCCACGTTGCCTACGCTGGTGCCAGCTCTGCCCACCACCTGGAGCTTCTCTCCTGTGTTGATGATATCTGCAGTCACCTTGGTGGCCGAGCAGAGGATAAGGCCTTCGCAGTCCTGCAGCTTGGCTATCAGCTCCTCTTTGCTTAGGTTCTGCTCCTCCACCACCTGAAGCCCTCCATCTTGCAGGAACTTCCGGCGGCAGCAAGGGTTTAGGCTATCATGGATGAGTACTTTCTGTAGATTTGCGAAAGCCATTGCTGGAGCTGGCCTCAGGATCTACAGCTCTCCCTGGACAGAAACACCTCTAAGCCCCCAGATTTGATTCTGATTGGTCAGTTTCTATGTCAGTCAGCATCTCTGGGCCTATCAACGGGGCCTGATTAGAAAGACAGGGCTGATCAGCAGCTCTGGTGGAGTCCTGGAGAGAAATGGAGGCGCTGCTACGTGACAGACTGGGAGATAAAAAGAGAGGTAAGTGCTGGTCAAAAGCTGTAAAGGCAACAGATAAGTCCCTGCTTCTCTCTTCAGGCCTCTCTCTGACCCTGATTCACGGACCCCTCAGCAGTCAGTGCTGGGGCACTGCACCTGCAGCTGAAGCAATCTGGTCCAGCTTTGGTCTGGTCTGGTCCTGCTTTGGTTGTAATGGTGTTACCCCCTGGCTCTTTATTGGGTTTGACTATTTGAGATCTCTGTAATGGTCAGTAAAAATGAGGTAACAAGCTCTCTTAACAGTGAATAGCATATTATCCCAAAAGCTGTAAGTAGGAAACACTTTTACGTAAATTATAAATCTTAAATTACAAAAGGATTTGACTACTATCAATTTTTTCTTAGAGTCCTGACTGATGTTATAAAAAATTCTGCTTTAGACAAATTTTACTTATTCCTTGCTAACTTGCTTGATCATTTTGGCCTGATGCAATATGGGTGATATTAAATTCAGATTGAAAGTATTGATATTTTTCTGACCTAAATGATGGGAATCCTTATAGTCTATTCTGATAAAATGAATGTTTGGAGCTTTTTCTTTGTAAATTATCCACACAACAGCTGGTCCCTTCTGCTACTGAGGCTGTCCTTTACCAAGGGCATCTCCTTACCGTGGACTTGGTCTGAAGGCTTTACCTTACAGGACTCAGGAGCCTCTCCAGCAACCCCTCTTCTATGAGGATGTCCAAGTCTTGGGACAAAGTCTCACAGAGAGAGAGAGTGAATTTATTGTATATTATTCTCAAGAAACATGTGCAAATCATCTGCCTGGAGCTGGTGCCCATGACCTCATTATTCCTTCATGCTGGGCTCTGAGGACTAGGAGAGAGCTGGAGGAAATATTTGTTCCCCACATATTCTATCAGGGTCACTGTTTAGCTAGGGTTGTGATCACAGTTCTGAAAATTTACATTTCCCTGCCATAGGAAGCCAGGTCCTGGCAGAAATTAGAAAGCAGGCCTGTCTGGTGGGCATATGCACAAAGAAGACAGGTATGAAATATCCTCACCTGCTGTTTTTTACATTTTCTCTGGTGTGACTTTCCTGGAAATCTGTATCTGATCATTCTGCTCATGTCCACTGAGAAAAGGAATAGGAAAAAAAGGAGGAGGAAATGGTGCCCTTGGGAAAAAAAAAGTTTAAAATAAATGTGAGCTTGGTGTTTAAATCAAATATCTGCAACCTAAAGAGTGAGATTTAGATGAAATGGCTGTATTGGAACCACCACATGAAGATACTCGGGTACCTGTATTCATATATTTCTGTAAAGTTTCCCCAGGCTTTACGCCCAGTGAAGATAAATATGTTGACATGTGGGTCAGTTCAGGAAAAAGAAAATATTTACAAGCCACATTTTTACATTTAAAATAAAAATAACCATATTCAATTCTGTGAAAATGGCTATTCTTATAATTGAGATGACTACTCCAATGAATGTGTTGTTCCTTCTAATAGGTGTTGTTCCTTCTGTCATTATGTATTTATCATAGTTAAAATGTTAATATTTGGGCAGGTTTGAAAAGAAGCTGCCTAAAGGCTTCTCTCTCATTTTTTTTCTCCTTGTGGTTGGAAGAGTAACAGGCTGCCAGAGGTATACAGGTGGATCCTTGCTCTGCTAGCCTTGATGTGCTAGCCTTTGCTGTTGCTTTTTGGGTTTACTAGGTGTATTGGTTAATAATGCAAATTTTTTTCAATAGATGGAGTTACACATATGTTAATATATATGTGATTTGATATGTATGCTATTTTGTTGTATTGACAACAAGCTTCAAAACTTCATATGCCAAATTTTCTGAAGGTGTTAACATCATAAGTATTTTTACGCTTAACAATGTCAAATTTTGAGCAAAAAAAAAAGAGAGAGAGAGAATTTGCAGGAAGTTTTAATTCATTACTTTATTTTGAAGAAAAATGCTGCTGCAAGTTATAGTGTATTTTGGAAAGCTTATGGTGAACATGCTCCATCTCAAGATACTTGTGAACACTGGTTTAAACTCTTTAAAAGTGATGGTTTTGATGTGAAAGACAAAGAACATCCAGGCCAACCAAAATAGTTTGAAGACCATAATTACAAGAATTATTGGATGAAGATGCATGTCAAACTCAAAAACAACTTGCAGAAAGATTAAATGTTGCTCATCAAAGAATTTCCAATTATTTACAAACAATAGGCAAGATTTTAAAGGAAGGAAAATGGTTGCCACATCAACTGAACGAAAGACAAATCAAAAATCAAAAAGTCATCAGTAAAATGTTGCTTTAACGACATAAAATGACGTCTTTTTTTGCATCAAATTGTGACTGGTGATAAAAAGTGGATTTATTTTGAGAATCCCCAATGCACAAAATCATGGGTTGATCCATGTCAACCATTAACATCAATTGCAAGGCTAAATCACTTAGGAAAGAAAACAATGATCTGCATTTGGTGGGATCAGAAAGGTGTGGTATATTATGAGCTTCTAAAACCAGGTGAAATCATCAATACTGATCACTACCAACAACAAATAATCAATTTGAACCTTGCTTTGTTCATAAAATGACCAGAATGGGCCAGAAGACAAGGGAAAGTAATTTTGCTTCATGATAACACACCATCACACACTTTCAAAACCAGTTAAAGACACATTAAAAGATCTTGCCTGGGAAGTATTAACTCACCCACCTTGTTCACCAGAACTTGCTCCTTCAGATGACCACTTGTTCTGATAGATGATACACTTACTTTCTGAGCAGTACTTCAGAAAATTCCAAGAAGTGAAAAATCAGGCCTCTGAATGGTTTGCCTCAAAACAAGAAAAGTTCTGTTGGGATGGTATCCACAAATTGCCTGAAAGATGGGGGAAATTTGTAGCTAGCGATGGACATTACTTTGAATAAAGCACTATTGATGTTTCACTTGAAATTATCATGTATTCTTTTATTACAAAATCTGCATTATTAACTGGTACACCTAGTATTTCTTGCCTCTCCTGCTAAGGAGAATTTATTGTTAGATTATTCACTTTGCCTGTCAAGGTCTCAGTTTTCTTCTCAACCCTCTCCCCGCCCCCCGCCCCAAATCCCCTTCCATCTGGAACATTCAGTGCTTTCATGGCTTAAAAGAAAACCAACGTTATAATGGCCATCATTAGAATAAGCTGCCTTAATTGATGTTTACTTAGTGCTTCCTTGGACCTAAAGGAGGCACACCTAACAAAACCCCTGAGAGAAATCCAAAGAAGAGAGGCTGCCAAAGACCTTCTCAAAGTCAAAACTTGGACTCTGAATGTCAAAGCAACCGAACATTGCCAAGTCTCATCAGACTGCCTGGAAGGCCAGTCCACTTCCATCTTCCTCCCCCTGCCTGTCCTCCCCAAACCCTAGTCCACAGCTTGCCTTGATTATGGTATTGAGGTAATTAAGGAAACAATCTGTTTTATATATTCAGCTATTCATAGAGACTTAGCTCTACATATCCCTGAATGAGGTAACCTCAATTATTTGTCTTTACCATGAGAAGCATACAATGACCAGTGGAATGTATAAGTGAGGTAGAGAGAGGTGAACAGAGATCTTTTAACTTTGGAAATGAAGAGGGACAGCTCTGAAAGAAAAACTAAAAGGAGATATAACATTGAAAATGTAAAAGTTACATTTTAGGATAGGACTCAGTTTTAGTGAGAAACTCTAATTATTTAAGGTGAATGTAAAAGGGATTATTGTAGTCCAGTACATATATTCAGCCAGCATCCAGTGAGACATTATTACATGTCACTCTTTTTGCTAAATACTGGAAGTTAATGACAAAATATCTGCCTCACAAACTCCGTTATGGAGGAGACAGATAAACAAACAAAGTGACAAGGAAGTATGTGAGGCTAGTCCAGAATGCTCTGGGGGTAGAAGGTTGATACCCAGCTCTGACCAAGACTTAAATCATGAGGAGTTCTACCAGAAGGTGAGAGAGGCACTCCAGGTATAGAGAACAGCATGTACAAAGAAGGGAGGCGATGGGGAAAGGTGGGAGGGCAGTATTCAATAAGGCTTTTGGGGTACTGCAGGTACTTTCCAAGCTTCTGAAAGCCATGGTACATATGAGGAAGTGAAGGGATTTTCAGTTCTAGAGGGAGATAAAGTCCTGGTTATGGGGCCTGTGCCAGGGTAATGAATTGGGCCAGTTTGGTTCCATGGGGTTTTTTGACTAGATGTTTCTTAGTATGATTACGCTGACTCAGATGGTGCTGATTTGACTAAATACTTGCCTTTCTGGTATATATCTACTAGAACATCTCACAGAGTTGAGAAATAGGTAAAGGAAAGTGCCTACGTACTTAACAGGAATCTTTCATATCTGCATATCGACAATATCAAACATAAGGAAAATAAGATGGTTTTGAAACATTAATAAGTAGGATGCTGCTCTGCACCATGACTGCGTTAATCTCCGCTAGAGATCAATGACCAAGGCTTGGCTTCTGTACTCTTATGCCATTGAAATAGAACAATATTTATTCCTTATCTTACTTTGTCAGCATGGACAAATCAGATGATTTTGTGACGTTCACACAGTGGGCATGATTCATAGAAACCCACCCAGTGTGGGAAGCCACAAGTGTTAGCATGGCTTGTGCCTGCCCACTTGGCAGAATGGTGTTCAAATGGCCTTTTACATGCTCTACTCCTGCCTCTGCTTGTTGGCAAGTTAAAAAATGCTTAGGATGAATCAGCTGACTTTACTCACTATAGCTTTCAGCATGGGCTGGGCAATTATTTTGAAAAACTTA